GACCATGATATTGAAGGTGAGGGAGCTGCGGTCTTGGTCCCGCTGCGCAGATAGCTTCGGAGCTCGACGCATTAGCAAGTACCGCAGGACGAGTCGCGACGCGTCGAAAGCAGCACCAGCTAATGAACAGGTCTGCAGCCTACATCAAGACGAGTACATGCCAAGTACGTGACATGACGTGGGCGTAGGCTCTTGGGTGTAAAGTCTCTTGCTTGTATGTGGTAATACTTTTGAAAGTTGTCGAACATCTTCCTCAATCCAATGCGCAAGGCACTGGAATCAATGAAAATGTAAAGCCGCAGTGGCAGACCAGCAAAAATTGCCCCGCTGAAGCCCCCGAAGGAGATTCATGACAACACCACACCCCGCTGTGCAATGGAGGCGACGTTGTCAGACCATCAAATGCTTGAGCTTGATGAGTCGCAAGAAGGTCTAGAGATTGTTAGCAGGTGTAAACGTAGGGGGGTGGTTGGGGAATACGAACAAGTATTCAGAGCTTGGGAGGGACGGGGGCGGCGCGGTATAAGTAGCCAGATGGTCTTGGCACGCTAGTAGGTCACATGACGAGCAAGGGCGGCCCAGAGGCCAGTGCGCGGGGCGACTGCGGGTAAAGGCCGGCAGTGAGATGACCGGCTAGGTCCATGCGCCCGCCTGAGGGATGCTTCCCCATCAACTCACATCTTTCGACATGAGACTGCGTAAACGCCGCACATGCAAGTTAGTGCACTTCCATGTATGCGATGGAAATCTGTAAACGACGCTTGGGTTCGACAGGTAGTGCCAACCGAGCAGAGCCGCGCGGGTTCGTCGCCGCGGAAAGTTTGCAAGCGCTGCGACGCATTTAGCTCGTTGCCTCAAGATCACATCACTCGGGCGCCTACAGCCCTAACATCTACTGTAAAGTAGAACATTATGACTAACCCAAGCAAACACTGGATCGACGGCTACACTCCGCTTCAGCACTATCTTTCACCATGCTTCAAAGATCCGTCGACATGTTCAACATTATCATCTACGCCATCGACCTAATATCCTATCCAGTGCCTTCAATCTTCAATACTCTTCTCATACAGAAGTTGTTGAAGAATATGATGACTATGCAAAAGCTCGTAAATCTCCCAGCCATGCCTGAGCTCTACCTTCCTAGTCATTATTTCGGTGAAGTCTCTATATTCGAGCATCCGTATATTGATGGCCCCGCAAGGGGCCCGTCGGCCGCCGGAACTGCCTCTGAGAGATTCGATCTCTTTTCTATCCAGGTACCTCTCCCAGAGAAGTACCGTTGTGTTCGGATTGGCGCGGATTGAGCGTACCGCCCGTTCATCATACGAACCAGGCTCGCAGGTTAAAGGTTGCATCTTCTGTACCAGGGCCGTGAGGTTAATGAGAGGTTCTTTGGTAAGATTGAGACGGTGTTCCTGTCGCAGGATGTCCATCATAGGACCACCAAAATTCCCTGAAGCGTCGAAGACTCCTTTTGGGAACTCAAGGTACGGTTCATTGCGCGCGCGAGCTTGGGGTGACTCTATGAGGAGGACGTAGCGCTCGATAGAGTTGTCTTTTGGACGAAGTACTATCATCAAGTTGGCGTTTACCGTGGCTCTACCAACTGTGGGCGGGGGTTTGGCTGGCATGGTATCGAAGCCTCTTCGATTACGTGGCAATCCGACGTCTCTTAAGGAGAGAACGAGAGTATGTGGCGTGCAAGTATTGTGTTCGAGACGTTCAAGGATAATGAGAGGACAGAAAGATAGGTAGAGGCTGGCTGGCGAACAGGAAGCAATGGAGGTAGTGGAGTAATGTAGATACGAGGTGTCTTGGAGCGGTGGACGGTGATGAGAGGCGTCTAGTGGAACACATACTTATACTTTGGCCTCGAGCAGCTATACTTGGGTATGGTGCTGTGGCAGCGCTACCTCGACGTTGTGCAAAGGGACCCGCAGTATAGCGTTGATGTGTTGGTGCAGATCTTCTAACTTATGGCCGGGTACACCAATGGGTCAAGGTTCCGAAGCGCGCGCAACTTGCTCTGGATGCTCCGATGCTTCCCCACCCGCCGTTCGTCTCAGAATAATGCGCGGCGCTTACCAGAAAACCTTGAGATAGTACGTACATGGAACGATACGCTAGCGGCAAGAGACCGCCCAGTGAGAAATGTGTATGTGCAGGATTTTTGGTATTAAAACCGATCAATGACACATATCTTGCCAAACTCGCGCGTGCAGACCTATCTTGATACACACCATAGCACCCTCTTCCCTCGCACGTCCGTTTATACGCACGATCCTGCCTTATATAAGGAAAAAATGCAACAGGTCTGCAGACTACACGAGTTTAAAAAGAAGCAAACTAGCAGACTTTGTGGTAACGTGGGCTCCTCGGTGTTTAGCATTTTCCTTAGTCAAAGTGAATCTTTCGTGGGACTTGCTTTGGAAGGCTTGGACTTGGTATCGTTGACTTACCAGGGCTACCTCTTTACTACTCTAACTTCGAAATTTTGATAGCAAGGAGTGGAAATGGATGATTGGATTGCTCAGCGGAACCAATACCCTTTCGAGTGCAGCTCGCCCAAACGTCTACTACAATGATCCAAGCGGGCTACATTCGCATACTTATGATAGCTCGTGTATGACTTCAAAGGCAGGCAGCTTCTCAGCCTCCCGTTCAGAAACTACATGTCGTTTCTAAAGCCATGTTTTGCATCCGATAACGCCTTTGTGGAAAACCATGTATACCTCAAAGCGTTCTCAAAAGTTCGAGTTCTTCATGAGTTAGTATCTTTTAGCCTCCACAGGCACTCTTGGAATCTGAGCTTCTCCGTAAGACGAGACACCTCTAGAAGGACTATGAGCGGTATTTCGCAGCAGCATTCCGAGGTTCTGGTCGTTCATGGCTCGCGAAGCCTCTCCCACGATTAGGTATAGAGAGGTAGGTAAGCTGGGTTTTGTGGCCTTGGTGCGTATGTTGTCGTTGTCCCCCGGTCTTAGGAATGTTGGAACCTGCTTATGTTCAAATCAACAAACGGGACTTGCCTGAGAGGTTGATAAGCCCCACGCCATCTTGAAGGACCAGCGACGTTATAGTTACCGTGATGCAGCGCACCAATAGGATGTAGTCCCCAGCATGATATTGGGACACAAGTCAGCCGCAAGTATAGTCTTTATAATGTTGAACTTAGCAGTGACAGCCTCTTCTTCCGCAATCTACTCTTGCTATTTCAATGCCACCCGATCGTGTACGGTGGGAGGGATCGCCATGAGCGCAACATCAGCACGGATGTTCCGATCAGTCACCGGTCTACTGCTCTTCTATTCCGATACTCCTCTCTACCTAGGTATATTCGCAATAGCTATGTTTTCCATGTTAGGACATCGCGGTACTATCGCACTAGGCGCTCTATACTCAGAGTCCATTAGTCTTGCCCTCTAGGACGCAGAGTACTAGGATTGTGTATGATCATCGCTCGTCGTAGGGGTGATCGTAACGGTCCAACGAGGCTACCTAGGTACGCGCATGGGGGTTGCCGAGGTCCCGCGGTCTGCAAGGATAAATCGCTTGGCGAACACCTGGCGCTTGGCGTCTCTCTTAGCCAACATCATCGACTTCATGCCCTCAAGCAACTTGGAAGGTGCCACTTACCCTCAACGCGCTGGTCGCGACATTCCACCAACTCGCGCTGATCGCGCCTTCTTTGTTTCTTGCCCTCTTTCATGTTTGGCGCACTGATATACTGACAATCACGGCGCCATAGCGGCCCTGCCTCTTTCCCATTACGGGTAGTAACCACTCAGTCATCACCAGCAACCACCTTCTTGTATCATCTGTTCGATAAGCGGAACCGCTCGTTACTTGCTTTGACGCATCCAGCCAGTCAGGCATGGTGCTACTTCGCCTGGAAATGTGAAATACTACGCTGCTGGGTACGCCGTCATGGCTACTCCAGATCGACCACGTACACATACCCCATTACCAAGACCCTTAACGGAAGCCGCGCATCAACTTGGTCAGAATCATCGCTATCGCTTTGAGATATGACGCACACTTCGACGTTCCACTTTCCCTCACCCAATCCATGGGACGCTCTTGCGGCATGAACCACGCAGTAAAAGTCAACAGTCATTTCTGGCCTGATTCGCCCCGTACTTCAGCATAGCCTCCACCAATTTCCAGCGTTCATCCTGAAGCTGTACCACGGTTCCACAAGCGTGTGCCCCACTACCGCACACAATGTCCAGGTATAAAAGGCCGACTTCAATGGACCTTTGGCTCCGCCCTAGGCACTCACGAAGAACGAGGTCGCTGGATTTTCATTGTTTCACGCTGCCTGAAACCAAGAATTCACAAGCTCAAAGCGAAACCAACCGCCGAACTCCACCTCCACTTGTCGTACGCGAGACACCAAAGATGGACATAAGATGGACATACCGTGTCGGCGCGCCTGCGTTAACCGTACCTCCCTTCGATAATATAGGAGCCCAATGGATACCAGAGTGGAGCGACGGCGTATTTCGACAAGCCGTAGCCCGCATTCTTCACGACACCCAGGTCCATGTTCTTGGCTACGGCCTCGTAAAGCGTGTGCGACCCGGCCAGACCCCATCCCCGCGCCTCTCACGCTACTAGTCACTTCAGACATTTCTGTGGCTGGACAATACGCGGCCTGGAAGGTCGCGGTGAGTGATCTCAGGTCACTCTTTGACAAGGCCAATCGCGAGGATATCACTGTGGAAATTACAGACATCAGATCAGCAGACAGAGTGCCCTCAGCGCCGCTCACAGATTGCGCGCCAGAGCTTGTTGTGGCATGGGAGTGCTATCTACCAGCTTTCCTTGAAGATATCCAGGAATGACAGTGGCTCACCGCCGACATCGTCCTCTGTGAAATCGGAGAAGTGCATCCCATATGCGCGCCTACCCTCCTCATCACCGCGCAAGATGCCGACTCAGCGATATGGTGGGACAAAACACTACCTCATATACGTCAACAACTCCCCGAGACAATGGAGGTCGACCTCCTCTACGCACCACACCTGGCTATGCAGACATCTGGAGACGAGGAAGAAGCAGAGGAACCGCGTGTACGCCCTGCCATATATTCGACGATGCAGGACTACGACGCCATCGTAGAGATGGGAGCGAGTATTGGCGTAGAGCAGCCGGACAACAGCGGAACAGTGGGCGCTGTCCTCGTACTCAAGGATGCGGCGGGCAATGAGACAAATTGCGCCCTGACCAATCACCGCGTCGTTGCGACACACGATCCAAAGAGTGTCATCAACAGCGGTATGTTTCTGGATATACGGACACATCAACCAGATTGGCTCACTCTTGAATCTACGACATGACTCTGGTTCTATTGTACCGGTAGACATGGAGCAGCGATTTGGAACGACAGACGGTATCATGCTGGCTTTCGGAGTCATGCATGACCGCAAAGGAGAAGAGTTCATGAGGGCCGGCGACTCCGGAATTTGCGTACTTGAACGAACGCAACAGAAGAGCGACCGTTGTCGGTCTACTCTATGCCTTCAACGAGCATACGCGCGTTTCTTACATGATACCATTCGACCTGGTTGTACGCGACATAGAGCTAGTGACAGGCCAGAGAGTGTCGAAGCCTGAGTTTGTTCAGTACGACGAAAGGGCGTAAGTGCACTTTGAGAGAGGACAGCGCATAGTCATGCTATTTATTGCGCACCAGTTTATAGATCAACGTAGCTCTCTACAATCAGTTTACATAAAGCGTTGACATCTCGAAATTATCAGACAAAGATTCCCATGAGACTAGTAAAGCTTGTCCATTCGTGTAGCCATTCGTCGACACTTGTTTTGCGGTGCTTTGGCGATGCATAAAAAGCTTGTATATTGCTAAACCCCGATAAGAGTTGTATTCATTCATAGAGACTAACTTTTCATCCTCGCTCCATGCCGAATCGTTCGAGTACCTCATACAAGGATAAAACTATACAGGTCTGCAGCCCACATGAAGGTAAAAACATGCAAAGTAGGTAATCCAACATCAACGTAGGCCCCAGTGTGTTTATTTTCCCCTTCAATGAAGTGCGAGTATGCGCCAGTGTCGAAATTGACGTTGTCGCATGGATTGAGTTTGCGCATGCGTCCAAGCAGTCGGCATGTTTGATCTTCAGTTGGAGCTTTGCGTGGCTGCTCTGTAATGTGTGGTGGAACAAGCTAACGTGGTTCACGTTCACGGGGAATGGTGCTGATGAAGACTTCAATCTGTTCGAGACTAGTCATGATGCGGGCGCAATATCGTGAGTACCTCCGAACGATACATCAATCCGCGTTCTGGGACCAAAGAAGAAGCAGACGGTGATTTATCATGTTTTCTGCGACGCAAGACCATGGGGCGAAGAGACATTCAATTTGATATCCAAAAAGAAACTGAAGAGCGATGATGTCGCAAAGTCCTCCTGGCTGCACCATGAAGTCAGTGATATCGACTTTCGAGTCGTTTGTATGCGTTACTTGGCCATTCGGTTTTGGCAATTGTAATACTCTCAGAGACCGAAAAGAACATTGCAAGCAGTGTTGTAGTTTTGGTTGTAGTTTTGGTAGACCGGAGAGAACATATTGAGCTTCTTGGTCTTTTTTTGGTGGACCGGCAGAGGACACGAGAAATGTCGTGGTCAATTTTGGTAGGCCAGCATCGCACAACTCATGTAATGTTTAGGTGTTGGAGAAGCTGTCTCTCAGCCGTGTTCTGAATTCAAGAGACCGGTAGGAGCCCAAACATAACGAGCGTTGCTTGCACTTTTGATGGAGTGCAGAGCTGAATCCAGACATGCGCTGTGAACATTCTTATTTTGGCGAGAAACAAAAGATGCAGAGCACCAGACCATGTTTCCTTCATGCTTTGATCTTGCTGGAAAAGACCGGTCTGGGAGTCCACATGAGCCAGATAATTGACGATTTTGATGAGAAACAAGACCCGAGCAGAGACATGTATCGTTGCAGCGATGATTTTGATTTTTGGAAAAGATCGGGTCGGAAGCCCACATGAGCGTAATAGTTGACGATTTTGGTGGGAAAAAGACTGGACAGGAAGTCCACATGATCTTGGTGTTCCGAACTTTTGGCGAAACAGAAGACAGGCACACATGGGTGAGAACCCAAGGGATTTTGATTCAAGGGAAAGTATTGTAGGAGAAAAGAGGGTGGGTGAGCAAAGCCAGTTATATAGCCGTGCTAGCTCTCCTAAAATTCACGTGTTGCACTGACATTTGCATGTGCGAGGAGAGGAGGAAGGTAATGATGTGCTGACATGCGACGGGTATATATCATTTCAACTCTCCAGCCACCTGCATGAGCGCATCTCCAACATAAGTTCCCTGTATGCTTTTGTAGCTTCCAATTTGCGCCGTTCCCATTTGACTCCAAAGTATGCTGTACAACCCAACTATCCATCGAGCACTCCGCTCTCCTTGAGTGAACGGAACAGCTCCGGTTCCAAGAACTTGCTGATTGTGACGTCTTCCGCGAGACCCTTCCTCCTCCTTGTCTTGAGCACGAAGTCGCGTGCGAGTTGTTGTGCGGTTGCGGGTTCGAGCGGTCGGGTTGTGATGTCTTTGTCGAGAGGGTCGCCGGGGACGATGGACCAGCGGTCGAAAACGAGGGAGAGGGAGACTTGGCCTTGTGTGTGGATCTACGGCAAGTTAGTATATGCGCTAGGTAATGGGGATAATAGTAGGAAGTGTACGTACCCTAAGATCGGTCTCGAAACCAAATGAATCGATGACCGGAATAAGACCACGCACGTTGTACAGCGGAGTACCCGCGATGGGTCCATCCTGTAGAACGTGTCCTCTCCTTCGTGCGAGGACTGTGTACAAGCTGCTCTTGGTGTCTGCAGGGCCGACCATGCTGCACGAGTACACCGGCTCCATGAGCCTGGGACTCGCCATCAGGAAACTTGAGTAGCACGCTCGTCGACTGGTGGGAATGATCTGACCACCTCCGCGGAAGATGGCTTCTGGCGCAAGTTCGACATCGGTGATACGGAACTTTGTGTTGCGAATGGGCTCTTCGCAGAGTGGGCCTTCTCGAGTAGCCCAGCTGAAACCTTGTCGAAGCGTATCGCGCACCGTTCGCAGAGTCTTGCCGTCGACTTCTGAGGGAAGCGTGTCGTTTTGTAGGATGTTGGGGCCCATGTCATCAGGTCCGAAAGCCCAGATGTTACGCGACGCGAGCAAGTCGTATCCGTAGTTTTCTTCGAAGAACTTTCCAACGACTCTGACAGGGTCCTTGATGTTGACCTTTCCAGCCTCAATATCCTCCGCGATGCCTGGGTCGAGCGGCTCAGCAATCATCGTGAGCTTGTTCTTTTTGTTCGGTGTAAGCGCGTAGCACTTGATGGCAGACATCTCAACGACCGTCTCGCAGAATCTTGTTACAGGATCTGACACCTTGATCTCCATGTCGGCGTATAACCGTCGCAGATCGTGCAGAACACAATCCATGTATAGTTCGCCCGTGCCGAGAACAACGTGCTCTCCTGACTCCTCGACCTTGGTTGTGATGAGCGGGTATGACTTGTTGATCTTGCGCAGACCGTCAAGCATCTTCGGTAGTTCGGAGGGGTTTATCGGTTCGACTGCAACCTTGAATACGGATTCAAAGAAGTGGCGGATAGGTCGGAAAATGTAGGCGTCTTCGTCTTCGGGGAGTTTGGTAGCTACAATCGTCGCCGTCTTGACTATCGAATTGTCGACACCGCCGAGCAGCACCCAGTTACCCGCCGGAACACCGCTGACGGGGATATTGTATCGTGACTGCGCTATCCATGTGTCTGTTACTGTCGCAACGACCATGTCTTCCTCATCCTCGATCGTGTAGCCTTCACCAAGAACACGCACCGACTGCGGTGAAGTTGCAGTACCGCTCATCACTCGGCCCAGTGCTGTGAACGACTTGGCATCTGTTGCATTGAACAACTTCGTAACGTGTATGACTAGGGGTCCGTTCTGGTCGCACTTCTGCATAGCTTCGGCGGTCTTCGTATCCAGAGGTCCGGTGTAATGTCTTTGCAGCAGCCGTTGCGCACCTTCTTCGGGCGAAGGAACGTGTTGGGTGATCATGTCTACGAAACCGAGAGATGGCCCGAAGTACTGCTGGCATACAAGGCGCATCAGCTCCTTTGCGTCGGTCTTGTATTCTGATGGCTTCAGTCGGATGCCCAAAGTGTCAAGCGTGTCCTTGAGGTCATCCGGGCTCTGGCTCAGTGTGTGCGAGTAGATCTTGTAGACAGGCTCCAAGATCCAGTGTACGAAAGACCGTTGTGAGCCCTCCTCTTGCCTCTTGCGACTGAACTTGCGGCTCCCAGGGTTGTAGAAGATGTCGCCCCAAAGACGCATGGCGAATTTATCGATATCCAGACCCTTCATCGGAACGCCGAAGCCTGGGAGTTTGGATGGACCGGGGTAAAAGTCGGAGTACATCTTCGCGAAGGACTGAATGGTGAAGCACCATCGCATGCTGGAGCAAGCGAAAGCGACATTGCCTTTCTCAGGGCTTACTCGTCTACTCTCGCCGCGGCCGGGGATGGTGTTCTCGATGATAGTGTTGACCTCCTCGATTACGTGCTTAATCTTGAAGTATGCGTCGCTGGGCGGCAGCTTCAGCTCTAGAATCAAGCGGTCCATCTTGTTGACCACAAGTGTTAGGGGCAGATCTTCCAGCACTGCGTGCTTTATGATTTGCTCCGTGTTCACTTGTACGCCTTCAACCACATCCACCACCAAGACCACTCCGTCGACCAGGCGCAACGAGGCGGCGACTTCATCGGCGAAGTTTACGTGTCCGGGGGTATCGAGGATGTTGAAGAGATGCGACTTCAGTTTCGTGTTCTGGAGGACGAGGCTCATGGGCGCAGCCTTGATGGAGAGGCCTCGTTCGCGCTCGAGCACGTGTACGTCGGTGTATCGCAGCTGCTCCTCCCGCTTCTTGCCCCTCTTGTAGTCCAGACGATCTTGGATGTCGTGTGTCTCCATGACTAGCATATCCATAAAGGCAGTCTTTCCGTGGTGCAAGTGTCCAGCTATGGCGATATTCCGTATCTGGTCGGGGAAGTTCATCAAATCCGTCAAGAGCTCCCTCGAGTGATACACCGGGGGCAGATCTGTCTCTTGAATCGTGAACTTCTTCTGCACTACCGGCGCAATAATAGGCTGCGCCAGCGACTGCGTGTCTTCCTCGTGCACCAATACTTCGACATCTGGGCCGTATACGTCGGACGCAGAAGGGTAGTACTGCTTGTCTTCGTGGAGGATCACGGCATTGGATGGCCCCTCATCCACCTCCATAAGCTGCTGGTCGTTCGTTTCGGCTTCCTCTTCATCGTCAAGGACATAGGCGTCGGCTGCCTGGCCGGTGCTCTGGACATCGTCGTCGGACTCGGCCTCGCCGATAAAATTTCCGAACCTGTCAAAAGTCAGTCGCGTAACATATTTAGAGAGAATGGGCGCACTCACTCGTCGTATAGGTCATCCATGGCGGCGGTGGGTGTGGGTATATGCGCGGTGGTGATGCGCGTCGAGCTTGAAGCTGTCGCAAAAGTTCAGACGTGGTTCCGCGGCCTAGCGCTAGGCGGTGAGGGCGGAGGTCGCGGCTGGCCAATGGGACTCCAAGGCGACTCCTGCAGGGCCAGCAGGCGCCATCCGTTGTCGCGCAAGGCTAAACTCCAAAAAGATCCATCGGGGTATATTTGTTGATCGGGCCATTTGCTCAGAGGCACCTTATATCTGCTCTCTGCACCTTCATTCCGCTTTCCTGCATACCCAAGATACCCATCATGTCGTCCCTTCCCCCAGTTTACATCGTCTCGGCCGCCCGTACGCCTACGGGCATGTTCTTGGGGTATGTTCCCTGGTACTAGAGAAGAGGGGCACCGCCGACTCACGCGACAACAGCTCCCTCTCGAGCCTGAGTGCTGTTCAGCTGGGCTCTCACGCCATCAAGGGTATGTCAAGTCGTTGCCATTGGCATGTGGACTTATTCTAACACCTCATGTAGCTGCCGTTGAGCGCGCGGGCATCAAGCCCACCGACGTCGAGGAAGTCTTCGTTGGCAACGTCCTCTCCGCAAAGTACGTGCAACACCCAAACATGCCGAAACTCCAGGAGAACTCTATTGACCAACCTCAGCCTCGGCCAGAACCCTGCCCGCCAGTGTGCCATTGGCGCTGGCCTCCCCGAGTCGACCGTCGCAACCACCATCAACAAGGTGTGCGCCTCCTCCATCAAGGCCCTCATTATCGGCGCCCAGACCATCATAACCGGCAATGCCGATATCGTCGTCGCAGCGGGAACCGAGAGCATGTCCAACACCCCCCACTACCTCCCCAACCTGAGGACCGGCGCCAAGTTCGGAGACCAGCCCCTGGTCGACGGTGTACTGAAGGATGGTCTGACCGACGCATACAAGAAGGAGCACATGGGTCTGCAGGGTGAGGAGTGCGCAGACGACCACGGCTTCTCCCGCGAGGACCAGGACGACTACTGCATCCGCTCCTACAAGAAGGCTAACGCCGCACACGAGGCCGGCTGGTTTAAGGAGGAGATCGCTCCCATTGAGGTTACGGTTGGACGCGGCAAGCCTGCGGTCGTCGTCGACCGCGACGATGAGCCCAAGAACGTAAGTCGCGACCCTGGCAGTGTTCACTAATCGACACTTTCTTACTTATTAATCACAGTTCAACGAGTCCAAGACGCGTACACTGAGGCCCTCTTTCAAGCCCGGAAACGGAACCGTCACCGCTGCCAACGCTTCACCGCTCTCCGATGGCGCTGCTGCTCTTGTTCTTGCCTCTGAAGAGGCTGTCAAGAAGCACGGCCTCAAGCCCATTGCTAAGATCCTCGGCTGGGGTGACGCTGAGCAGAACCCCTCCAAGTTCACCACCGCCCCAGCGCTCGCCATGCCCAAGGCTCTGAAGCACGCCAAGGTAGAGCTTTCTGCTGTCGATGCCTTCGAGATCAACGAGGCCTTCAGTGTCGTTGCGCTCGCGAACATGAAGATCCTTGGTATCCCAGAAGACAAGGTCAACCTGCACGGTGGTGCTGTCGCGCTCGGCCACGCGCTCGGTGCCTCCGGTGCCAGGATCACAACTACACTGCTCGGTGTGCTAAGGGAGAAGAAGGGCAAGATTGGCTGTGCCGGCATCTGCAACGGTGGTGGTGGCGCCTCTGCCATTGTTGTCGAGTCGATGCAGTAAATGTGCCGTCTGGTTAATGAAGACACGTAATGCTAGATGTGAATGAAGTAATCATCTATACTTGGGCTGGAACTCCGCGCCCATATGCGCTGTTGAGTAAACTTGATATAGTCCAAACATGAACCTTGTGTAGTTATCAAGATGATCAAAGATCTCACCCACTACAATCTCTTCTGTGTTTCCTGCTGCAAGTAAGTTGGTATGTCCCAGCCATCGCGATAACAATACACCCACCTGCAAAAAGCACTTATTTGTACTCGACTTGTGTAGATCGACTTTCCGATTCATTGGTTGAACGGTCGGTTTCAGGGGGGTGGAGCGCCAGCACTGGCCGCGCTCGCTTCCAGAAGCGCTAAATCCGGCGCGTGGCATTGGCCAGCAGTCGCTCTCCTTCATCCCAACCCCCGATCACCTCACGTTTCAACGCGTCGACGACGAATCACATGCTGATAAGCATGGCAAATGCCTCAGGCAATCGATAATAACCGTAGGCCCCGCCACGTATCCACCGGGATGTGCGCTTCTCGCTGTTTCAAGCGCCTCTCCCCGTTCACCAACGGACCATCCGTCCTATTTCTCATGAAACGGCGCACGTTTGGTTAAACATCCGGGCAGCCTTGCTCAGCGCTATTGAACCCCCATCTTGTGTACCTGACTGGTTCCTGCAGGTCCCCCTCAATGTTGCTAACCGGAGATAAACTCGGTCCGTCTATAACTCCCCTCTTGTTGAAACGGAGCCCGATGTGCCTAACGGGAGATGTACACTCTCCCGCGCTCGTCTATCCTCTAGACGAAGCCGTTGGGGCGAATCGGTGGCTGCTATGTCAGGGTCGTTGCCACGCCTCCGTTTTAGGCCTGCGTATATAGGCAGGCCGTCCCTTTCCGACCATCTGGTGCCTCGTTACATCGCCAAACTATACTGTCGTCTTTTCCGTTCTTGTGCCTTTTTTCTTCACGCGTCTAGTACGCAGTCACTCATTACTATTCTTATCCTTCAGCGTCTCGACGATGCGTTTCTCCACACTCACTTCGGCTGCGGCCTTTTTCCAACTGAGCATAGCTGGCTATACTCTCCAAGATGACTACATGACCGACTTTTACGGGGCCTTTGACTTCTTCACTGATGCCGATCCGACAGAGGGCTTCGTCAAGTACGTTGACGAGGCTACGGCGAGGCAGACGAACCTCATCAACTCGTCTTCCTCAGCGATTTCCTGGGGCGTGGACACACAGAACCAGACCCCTGAGGGAAGGCCCAGTGTCCGTATCCAGAGCAAGAAGACCTACGACAGTGGGCTGATTGTGCTGGATGTTGCCCATATGCCATTCGGCTGTGGTACATGGCCAGCGTAAGTAGGCTTGCATTCATTGAGAGTCATGTTGCTTACACATTGATAGATTCTGGACGACTGGCCCCAACTGGCCAAAGAATGGCGAGATCGACATCATCGAAGGCGTGAACGACCAGACGAACAACGGCATGACCCTCCACACTGGCCCCGGCTGCCAGATTGGTGAAGACACCACCCAGTTCGCTGGCTCAGTGACCACAGGAAACTGTGATGTCGCTGCCGAGGATCAGTCGAAGAACGCCGGATGCTCCATCGAACACCCATCGACCAAGAGCTACGGCGCAGGCTTGAACGAGGGTGGTGGCGGTGTCTACGCGACACAATGGACCGCCGATGCCATCAGCGTTTACTTCTTTCCTCGCGACTCCATCCCGGAAGACGTCCTCGGTGACAGCCCAGACCCAAGCGGCTGGGGCAAGCCAGCTGCCAAGTTCGCCGGCGCCTGCGATATCGAGAGCACATTCAAGCAGCAGCAGATCGTATTCGACACTACATTCTGTGGACAATGGGCGGGCAGCAGCAGTGTTTGGAACAAGAGCTCCTGCAGCAAGAAGGCAGACACATGCGAAGAATGGGTCAAGAACAACCCCGAGGCTTTCACAGAGGCGTACTGGACGATCAATTCCTTGAAGGTGTACCAAGACAACGGATACGCCGCTGTTCCTCAGCCCTCTTCGGTGCCTGAGCAGAGCAGTGCTGCCTATGGTGTACCTGTCCCGTCAGAGACACCTGCTGTACCTGTCCCATCAGAGACACCTGCTGTGCCTGTCCCGTCAGAGATACCTGCTGTGTCGTCTGGCAATCCTGAGCCATCCGAATACCCTGCAGTTCCTCCGCTCATCACCGCCTCTGTATCCGGCATCTTCGCACCAATCCCGACGAGCGAGACCCTGTCCTCCAACGCCCCAGTCGCATCACCTCCTGCCGACGATGCCTCCCCCAGCGTACCCGCCGAGACCCCAAGCCCCATCGCTGCACCTACCACGCAGATCAATGCTCCGGCTCCAGCTCCAGCTCCGACCGGCCCCATGTCTGGTTTCCAATGGCCCTCTGGTGGCGCAGATAGCGGCAACAAACCTAAGCCATCGACAACACCCTCTGCCTCGCTTCCTGAGGGCACTAGCACGGCAGTTCAAAACTCGAGTGGCGCCGCCGCCGCTCCCAGCGCAGCGCAAAGCGTCGCTCAACCTTCCGATGTACCTGCCGCATCCCAGTCATACGCTGCGCCTGGAGTACCTGCTCCAGCGCCCACTGTATCCCAAGCACCTGCTGCGCCCGAAGTGCCTGCACCAGCGCCCACCAATGTTGAAAAAGCACCTCCAGCCGACCCAGCTGTTCCTGTCGTCACAGACACTGTCGAAGCTATTCGCACAGTAGTTCAGACGATCTATCATACTGTCACCGCTCCCGCTCCCGCCCCTGCGGCACCAACGCCCGCGCCTCCTGCTGCTCCTCCTGCCGCAAAGGGACGCATGGCAAGACACATTAGGGAGCACAGGCAGAGGCTTACAAGGCACCACGCCAGGCACTGAGCGATGCATGACGAATGATGGAACGGTTGGACAAGTCACACTGGTTGATGGCTTGCTTGGCTTGGTGGATGGGAACGGCGCACATATACCCCTGGGTTTCTTTGTATATATCTTTTAGACATTGGCAGCAATTCATTTGGATGTGATCTGCATATATATTGTCTTTCGTCGTGACAGCTAGTGATATGTTGATCTACTGCACATAAATAAGCGTTGTCCAAGATGCCTACGCCTGTGATGATCTTCTTATGTTCCCTTTTCCATGCGAATGCTTGCACCTTTTTGGGGTTCGATCTTCTGAAGGATAGATAGTCTGCTAGCATTGTGTCTTTTCGCTACCAACCTTGGAAAAGAAGTCAAAGAACACACCCCTCACGTTGTTGCACGTTCCAGAGGTGCAATGGTAGCAAAAAGCAGACTCACTCACACGCCAGGTGTTCTTGTCACACGTAGCGAGCAGAACAAACGAGTAGCGAGCGAAAGCAATCTAAGATAGTAAAAAGACCACATGGGAACCAACATCCCAGTTGCTCTTTCCTTTCTCCGGCGGAAGCAAACAAAATGGCAAAAAGAATGTGGACGCTGTGGGAATTGAACCCACGACCTTTCACAAGTACGCAGAAGAATGCGAAGCGACTGAAGTTGAATGTTAGGAGACAGTTCAGAGAGGGTGTGTTGGGTGGAGTCTTACAAATCATACCCCTAGACTTTGGGATGTTAGTGGATTGTAGAGGGTGATTGGGGTGTTGTGGCAGCTTACCCAAGCGCCCGTATTAGGTAATCGATGGTAAAGCCTCCAGTAACAACGTTTATAAAGGTATAACATTCTGAGGTCTGGTGTTTGGATAACAGGCGCGAGCAATGGAAGACCGGAGCGAGACCATGGTCGAGGTGGGGGTGAGGGGCAGATTTTGGAATGTGGGGTAAGACTTGGAACAGCCCTGGAATACCAAAGTCATCTGTTTACATCAGAAGTATGCCCATCTGCACCATCGTAACTCTTGCTTATTATTGAGAAGGTAGTACTCAGAAACATCAAAACTATCAGAGCAATTCCTTGCTCCCCCATGAGGTCATTCAACATAAACAAATCTTCTCGTTGTATTCCTCCGACATCAGAACCTTACGGCTCTCTTGCTCCATATGACTCGATAACTTCGTTATACCAATCCTTTTGTACATCGGATGTTGCACCGTGCTAGATGGTACTCCAGACTTGCTTTGAGCGTTCACTCCAGCAGGGTAGTCCGTCTGCCCCTCATATTTCAGTAAAAGGCAGTACAAATAACGGAATGCCTTCCGTACTGTTCGCTCCCCATACGCGACGGGCATGCAAAATAGTTTTGCGTCATCGAGAAAGATGTCAACATCGGATTCTGGGGCGTCGAGATACAGGTTGGCGTGTTCGGGATGGCGCGCAGCGTGAGTATTTGGTTGCAACACTTCAGGCCCGGGTTGATCTTGCTTCAGCCGCCAGCTGTACGGGACTCTGATTGGCGGGCGATGCCTACGCAGCTCAATAGCCCTGAGATATCGTGGTCCGAGCAACAATTTTCCTTGATCTACCATGCCATACTTGTTGTCTGTATCCGAGAGGACGATGTGATAACCAAGTACTTCGAGCATCAACTCTTCTTCTGGCTTTGACTCTTCCTTATGATCTTGAGCCCGGGTATGTCTTCTATCAACTGTTGCAGCCCCATAGTCTGTAACGTCGGGATAGGTGATTCCGTGGGGAGTGTCGATTGATGCCCATGAGAATGAAGGCGCTCGAGTTGCGTCGCGCCGCCCAGGGTTCTCGAACACACCATCTCGATAGAGTGCGTTCACCTGCCAAAGGAGCTGGCTTTCCAAGTTGTTTCTCCAAAGGCCGGCAATATACGTGTTTCGTTTTGTGAATAGTTTCTTGTCTGTACAGAAGCGCTTTGCAATGCCGGAAAGCGCTATGAGTTTGTCGCGCGAAACTGTGAGTTGCGTTTTGGAATATACCTCTACAATATGCTTCCACAGCTCGTATATGTGCAGATCTACCATGCCCTCATCAGGGTCTGGGAGGCCCTTCAGGCGATTGTCTCGTAGTGCCTCCCCGGCCTTCTCGGTTAGATTTTTGAAGCGACCCTCATCCACTATGACTCCTAGCTTAGCCCTCTGTGTTAGATTCATCTCCGGATGACCCTCTGCGTCTTCAAACTCTGCACACTCCCAGGCAATCTGATCGTGGCAAAAGTGCAACACTCGCGGTGCCATGAGACGCTCTTGGAGGACCCAGCCTCTGCGGTTAACGGGTGCTTCTTCGACGAGTTCATCCCAGAAGGACAAATCGATGATAGTGCACCTTATCAGCTGGTCTTCGTCCAGACTTTCAGTTCTCTTCGATCCGAAGAGATTCGTTCCAGTATAGTTGACGTTAATCTCGTCTTCCCAGAGATACTCGGGTCGTCGGCTGAAGAACAAGCCCCGATCTCCATCGGTGGCAGCAGTAGCGGATAAATTGAGAAAAGATCTTTGATAGACCTGGTCCATTTGTCGACTCTGCTCCAACCAATCACTAACAGAGCCCTTTGATCGGCTACTGTAGTTCTCAGTCGGCTGTATAATGCACATCGAATCGATCCAGATAAATCCAACTTTATCCAGGCGACAAGCGAAGAGGATAGCGTCTCGGAAAGTTTTCGGCAGCTCTCGCAGCTCGATACCATCTAGTTTGAAACGATCCTCAGTAGTGTGATCCAACCTAAGCTGTCCTTGAACACTCTTGGGCTTTCCCCAGCAATGACTCAGCGTAAGGTACCGATGGTCCTCCCTTTCAATGCGATTCTTCTTTGTCCTATCGCTGTTCCAGGAAAACATCGACAATTTGGCCGGGCTGCCCGAGCTTTGGGTGAATTCGCTGGTTTCCCTGAGATATACCTTCTTTCGTTCAACGTCGCCATGTTCGGACATGATTGTCAGACTGTCTATCTCTTTGATCCCGTTGGCACTGCGAAGCTCTCCAATATCCAATAGGCGTTTGGGGTAGAACTTCTCACCAGAGTCTTCCCAGGATTTTGCACATTTGCATTTTTTAATCCAAGCCTGTGCCACTCCGAACACCTCCTCTGAAGATGTGTCTAACGATCTTGGTGTTCGCAGCTGACGATTTTTGGGATCTGCTCTGTGTGCTTAGAAAACTTCTTGTGGTTGGTGCTACTAGGTAACCTACTGGTCTCCTTCAGCAAATACATGCGATTGTAAGATCCGTTCAGGTCGAAGTCGAGGCTGTACCTAACCCCGGATCCATCTGCGGGTAGTTTACTAAGGCTAGCTTTGATCGATATGGGTCGATCTTCGAGAAGATCCATATCGCGCCGAAGTACCTTCGCTAAAGAGATGCATATCGAGCAATCGGCCTCTCTTGATTTGCGGAGCGACGCTGTAGTATTGTGGTGATTGAATGTTAGATCGTGAGTACCTGCCCAAACCTCCCCGCTTCCACCTCTTAGCATTCCCACGCATACTTTGCAAAGCATACTGGTAGGGTAAGGCTGAAATGCTTGTTGGCCTGGCCTCGTCCGTGACGGGGGGCCGTACTTAGCCTGATTGCTGTCACTGGCCGGAGAGAGTACTGCGCCCAATTAGTACATTACGAGAACCGAGAAGAGTAAACAACGACTTTGAAGAGGAGATGCGAGCGAGCTAAGTCATACGGTAGCGCAGACACCATGCGCGATGAGTCTACAGCACGCAGGAGGCGAGGCTCGAGCGCCTCGCATCATGCTGGCCCGCCCTCGTCTCAGCTGCGGGTGCGAGCTGCAGCGCTCACGATGGGAGGCGCCAATGCTGCCATTACATAGGCTGATGGCTGCACCCCTGATGAATCGTTGGCTGTGGGTGCGGGATGAACCAATGTCGATGTTGGGGCGCAAAGTTGCCCGACCCTGCTGCTTGTACCGGTGTGCTTGGTCACTCCTGCCTGAGGCGCCGCGCAACGTCTCGATTGCTTGAGAGCTTGACGCTGCTGCGCCCCGCCAGGCTTCAGCTGAACACCCCCACCAGCTTTCATTACCCAAGGCATCTTAAACAAGGCTCCAGCACGATACAAACATAACAGAAAGCCAGATTTTGTTGCATTCATCATTCTTCACATCGTTTACTAGGTGCGCATCACCTCACACACCGGGTTAAGATGCCATCCACCTTCCAGCTGTCAGCTTGGGAGCCTGCCATACGCGTCACAGTTGCAGACGGCCACACTCTCGACGAGGCGAAGCTGCTTGGATTTCCAGCGTTCAAAAACTGGTTGAACGCACTCAAGAAGGACATTAATGTGCAAACAACTTCTGGGCACACGTTTGAGAAGGACCCATGGCGCCTTGTGGGCGTGAATATACACAGCGTCACCGTCTTTGAGGGCGGCAAGATAGGCTTCATGACGATCGAAGCCCTGATGAGAAAGGGTGCTAAAAGTCTTGATCGAGTCATCTTCTTGCGCGGTGGAAGTGTAGCTGTTCTGATGATACTACGACCCAAGGACAACAGGAAAGAGCGATATGTCATTCTCACAGAGCAGCCACGGATCGGCGCATGCAGCACTGCTTTCCTAGAGATTCCTGCAGGAATGTTGGATGACAAGTCTGGCAATGTGATCGGGAAGGCGATGGAGGAAATCTACGAAGAGACGAGCCTAAAGGTCAACGCAGATGAGTTGATCGACATGACCGCGATGGCTCTTGAGCAGTCTCAAACAAACGAGCATCTTCAACCAGCTGTGTATATGAGCCCTGCAAATCTGGACGAGTACATCCCGCTGCTATTATGGGAGAAAGAACTGGACCGAACCGAGATCGAGAATTTGAAGGACAAGTTAACGGGCGAACGTGCCAAGGACGAATGGATCACTTTGCGCGTCCGCGATTACGAAGTGCTCTGGACAGAAGGCGCAAGGGATGCTAAGACGCTCAGTGCCTGGGCGCTGTACGAGGCATTGAATAAGATCGGCAAAATTGAAGAGCGATTAAAGCAAATTCGTATAGGTCGGACAAAGGGATGACTCGCAGTGGAGAAGATATATTCGTCAACTCCCAAGTTCCAAGGCCTCTCGGAGTACCTTTGCACTTTTTTGCGTTTAAAGAAGCGCTACTAGCCGGCCCAGTTGGTCGCCAGCCTTTCGATGGAATTATGCCAGAGCTTTAGTAAAGATAGAACCCGGCTGATAGACAGTGTGGGGCGCTGCAGACCGCAGTTGAAGTGTTGATGACGGAACGGCCAGTAGATCCATTGGTCGTTGCGCAGCAAGTGTTTCAGTGTAACATGTGATTATCGCGAATCTACTTCTCGCGAGCCGAATACGCGCGTTACGAAGTATGACCTCACGTTTTCAACGAAATCCGCGGCGCTGTGTCTTAGCGATCTTTCCATTCATTTGAAACACGTCAAAAACGCTGTCAGATTCTCTCAGTTAGGACTTGTTGGACGTTGTGTTCTAGCTTACAGCTCAACATGTACGCGTCACCAAGAGTTACCAGAACCCGTGTTGCTTACATATTACTAAATCTTGATAAGTACATACTTCCTAAGTCAATGTAACTTCCTGGCCTAAAGATTTCCTCAAAAAATGCAACACAAGTTCTGCCACCTCTAATAGAATTGAATGTGACTTCGAGTACAAGATTGGGGTATTGAGTAAAGGAAGAGGAAAAGACATGATTAGATTCCATATACACCCATTTGCTATTGCCCTGAGCTAGTCCCTTAGCACAATGGTCAGCCGCTGCTGAACCACCCAGGTCATGGCTATGTCGCAAAGAAGTTTTCGTATGTATCGAGGTTGCCATCTCCAACTCCATGAGGCTGATCGCTGAGTGTCTTGGAAAAGTACTCCGTGCTCGCATGTTGAACATGAAACATCTGCACCGCGATTTTCCGAACAGAACATGGTCTTGAGCTGGTAGCCTATTGGAAAAATTGCGGAGGGAGATGTAGAATAGAAGAGAAGAGGAGCGGAGTAAAGTTTGGAGCTATATATACGGCAGAGGCTTGCCCTCAGCGCATAACTCGAAAGTATAGGTTTTGAAATACCATGTGATCTGCTGCTCGTCTTTGAACTTTCCAGAAGCGATGTATTTGGCATGAAACATTATGCTCGGGTTTTGGAGAAGCGAAGCCGTCATGTCTTGATCAACTGCGAGTTTGGATAAAAGCGAGTTCTTCGTGATTCTGTTTGGTACGAACAGGATGCAGCGAAGATCTTAGACAAATAATCTCAAAGATCCAGAGGCGGTCATGTCGTATACGTTGGAGCTTTTGAAGTACAGCTCACCAACATGTATTGTAAGTATCTCCTTTTTGGTAGTTCGCGGCAGGCAGACAGCGAAAAGACATATCTTGGTTCTTTCGGTATTTTCGAAACAAGTCATTTCACTGTGGCTTGACGTTTTCGTTTTGGTGTAGAAAGTAAGGTAATGGAGGAATGAAGACGGGTGTGCCAGACGTGATATTTATACCCATCTCACTAGCACAGAGCAACGCCATGGCGGTGTATGTTGCTATCGTTCCCAGCGATGCATAGCGGCAGGCGACGCAACCGCCCGATCATGAACTGGGGTAACGGTCTTTTTTGGTTCACATGAATATCATGAGGAGTAGAACCATGGCCATATCGAGATTGACTGTACTTTTTGAGAATGTGGGATCGCATATGCTGCGGCCCTCGTCGTTTTGGTGGAATGAAGAGACTAGGAGTAGAAGACTGTATTCGGTGTAACCTGAGGGATTGAACGCATCATGAGAGTCTTTTGACGAAGTTCTGGCACATAGGTGCGCTTGCACCCTGTTTTTGGAACATTCCCGGCGAAGGGAAAGACCGAGGAACAGACATCATCTTGTCGGCGCAGATATTCTGGGGAAGGCCATGATCATGCCTCTGGCCTCTTTTGGTAATACAGAAGATTTCTCGTGTTCTTGCAAGAACAATGGAGAAGAGAAGCGACAGGGACTTAAATATCGTGAGCTGGGGCCACGACAGTGGACATGGCAAGGTTGATGTCGTTTTTGGATCGAGCAAGGGGTCCCGAAATCCACAGATCATGGCCACATCGAATGGCGTTTTTGGAGATGTATGCACATAGACACTCTTCGGTTGTGTTTTGAACCGTGGAAAAGGGACGTGGACATAAGCCAGAATGAAACAACTTTTGAGGCCAGGTCACATGACATGACGAGGTACCTGTTTTTATTGAAAAAATGCAAAGGCAGTAGATGGGGAATAAGGTCCATGGGCAAGAAGACGGTGTTTATATAGACGTCGTGCCAAGAGAAGTGCGTTTGCGTACTCGTAGGAAGGCGTGACGACTGCAATAGGATGGTGGGCCATACCATGAGCGGGGCATCTGGGTCTGTATGCTGTACCGGTAATATGAGTAGATTGCTGAAGTAGTGTAGTCAGTATGTAGCGAGCAAGTGCTCGGGATCCAGAAGCAGAAGAAAGAACCACACGTGATGAAAGCGGCGTAGAAATAGTATTTGGGTATCAGAATACGCGACGATATGTGACAGAAGCCGCGAAAAGCACAAAGCGCAAAAAGAGTGTGGCCGAAACCAAAGAAACGACGCTCGCGACCAACCTGGTAAAGACCCAAGATAACTCGCTCCATCACTTATACTGATACTCGTTCTCGTCGTCGCTATCATCCTGTCTTTCAAGCACATCTTCAATCTCCTCATTCAGCAGAAGACCCATATCATACGTCTTCTCCCTGATCTCATCCGCCTCTTCCCTGCCCACCGAACAGTCGTCCATAATGAGCAGAATCGCGGCCTCAGGCACCATGACGGCTTGCACAAAGGCCGCGATACCGGATGCTTGGACGACGCGATCCTTGCAGTTCTTCATCTCGACCTTCAGGGTATCCATGACGCTCTCAGTGATGACGCGACGGCCGTGGGGACCGTAGTAACCCGGGTAAGCGGCCTTCTCGTCAAGAGCATATGATTCCAGTTCCTCTTGTACGTCTTCTGCCAGATCTGTTCGTCTCGAGGGGACGGCAGCTGCTTTTCCAGTCAATGCCAGCGGTTCGTAGCGATCTCTGTGTATACTGGACCGGTCGTTGTTGAGTATTTGTAACAGCGTCGCCTTGCTCCTGCATATTCGCCTAGGAAGTGCTTTCCAGTCAATATCCGGGTATCCTTTCTGTGTGTACTCCTTCTGCGCCGACTTCTTCTTATGCGCATGGCAAAATGCAGACTTGTTCTTGACCGTCTTATCCTTGCCTTTCCAGAAGTTCCAGTATTCGTCCTGCTCGACTGGCTCCGAACACAATGTACATCGTGAGCCTTCTTCCTCTACGTCGGGAAGCTTCCCGATGTAGCTGCTAATGTCGTCGAGGGCTTCTTGTGGTGCGCTGGAATCAGGCTGTGAGGATGGTGGCTCCTGATTCTCCTTCCAGCTACTGAGTTGACCAAGGAGTTGGGCGGTTCTGGCTGCCTTTTCTGCTTTCTTCAGTGACTTGGGACTCATTGGAGTGATTCCTAGTTCCTTGTACAGCTCTTCGCCTTCGAGTATCTTGGGTGTAGCGTCGCCGCCTTTGGCTTTTGTGTCTTTCGCCTTCTTCTTCGGTCTGCGCAGCCCCTCGATATTGTTTTGTGGTCTGTCGCAGTCTTTTGGCAGCGCAAAGAGCTCTTCGTCGTCTAGACCAATGGAACTGGCATCGCTCTCGTCACCGGCTTGTGACAGGCCAATCCGCGATTTGTTCTTCACTCCATAGGTCTGCCCCGTAGTCTTTGACGCTGCTTTCCCAAGCTTCTTCGCGGGCGGTGCTGCGTGTATGTTCCTGGTCTTCGAACCATACCCCTTGCTGTTCTTACTGGTCTTCTGGGAAGTGTGTTCCATACCCCAACTAATCGGGCCATCGTTGGCTGACCCTGCAGAGGACGCGGGTGTGTTCTCTTTGGGATCGTCGAATATCGTCGTAGCTTTATGCGCTTGACCACTCTGATACGTCCCACTCGTAGGCGCACGTATTATCCCAATCTTCTTTCTGGCAGCCTTCTTCTGAGGTCTTCTCAGAGTTGTATCCTCGGTATTCTTCGACGTAGGTATAGTGGCTGTCGCGGGTTGGACCGGTTGAGGAGGGGGAGGATGCGATTCATTGTCGGAGGACACGGGCTCGGCATTGATATCGATTTCTTCCTGCTGATGTGTAGACGAAGTGTTATCATTCGCCTGCCTCTTGGACGCGGGTTCTTCGTGATCGTCCTCCTCAGCATGCCGCTTTCCACCAATGTTTCTTAACAATTTCGGCGCCTGTTTCGTCAGGTATACCATTGCCGCGCATCAATGGAGGAAACTGAACGAAAGAAAAAGATACGATGCGTCCTCGAGGTAATGCGATGTCGGCGCACGCGAATGTATAGTCTTCCCGAGACGGACTCGAGATCATGCAGCAACGCGCCTTCCGGCGTTCCACCCCAGAACGCGAACACCGCGTTCGCGCTAGTCCGTCTTATCGATAACGCCCGAGCTCCGCCAAAAAAAGTTACCAGAACTTGCCAACTCGGTCGCAAACCCTCTCAAACAACACCGAAACCCCCAGCGTATCCTCACGATGGCTCTAGACGAAGCGCTGCAGCAGCCTTTGAACTTCACTGGTCATCGGCATATGATCTCGCGCCTCCTCCTGGCAACCCTCACCGGCCGACCCGTTCGCATCTCGCAAATTCGCTCTTCCTCGACCACACCTGGTTTAACACGCCATGAGACAAACTTCATCCGGCTGCTTGATTCGGTGACGAACGGCTCGCAGGTTCAATTTAGCATGACGGGAACGACAATAGTTTACAGACCGGGTCTCATCACCGGAAGTGCCGAGGGCCTAGGAGCCAGCGGCGGCGTAATCAGACACGAGATACCAGCCGAGTGCAGAAAGAGGGGCGTAAGCTGGTGGTTGATCCCACTCTGCGTTCTCGCGCCCTTCAGCAAAGGAAACATGAACGTCGTCTTCCACGGCGAAGGCTGCGTAACAGCTTCCACAATCGCCGGCGACGTCTCCGCCG